CAAAATCTCAAAAAAAATTGAGATGAAAAAAGCATTTTAAGACTTATTGATGCATTAAAAAAATATACATAACTTAAAAGAAAAAAGAGGGTAAACTACAAAAACACCCCTTGAGGTTTGATTAAAATACAAATCAATCATTCCTTGAAATTTTTAATTTCATAACAAATTGCCCATTTTATTAATATATCAGTAAGTCAATTAATAATTTTTAATGATGTTATAAATATGTTTTAATTAATAATTTATATAATTTTATTATTATGAATTTCTTTTTTTTAGTTAATTCTGTTAAATAATTTTTTTTGATAAAGTAGTATTTGGCTTCGTTTGGAAAGTGGGTTGACTTTTTGACTTTTTTGACTATTTTAGCTTGAGGTTAAAAAGCCTAGTTTGAGAAGGGCTTTTGATTTTTTTAGCTTTTTTGACTTTTTTGTGAGAGAAAGAATGTGATGATTATGGGTTGGATGTGATGTTTTGTCTTATTGGGTTAAAAAGCCTATTTTATTTTTTGTGACTATTTTAGCCAAAAAAAGCCTCCAAACTAACTTTCCAAACGGAGCCTTTGTAATTTGTCAAATTATAAGAAACAATTTGTATTTTAAACAAATTTTAGAGGGTATATTTATAATTTACCCTATAAAAAATTAAGTCAATGACATAAGATTAATCCGTAATTTATTTCAAAAAATAAATAAACAAATAAATAAAGTATACTCTTCAGTTCCACGTGTCTCCATTTAGAGAAAGGTTACATGGAAATTTGGTGAGATTAACAACAACCTTATACATAACACTAGTGGTAAACTCGTGCTATGCACGAGATTGATTTATAGTATATAAACTTTTTAATAATGTATCAAGTTCTAAATTCGGTCATAAAATTATAATCATAATGAATAAAGATCATCTTCTCAAATTTCATAAGTAAAGAAAATAATTTAAAAGCAGATATGCACAAAATGTTATTATAATTCAACCGATTTATTTTTCTTGAAATAATAAACTTAATTTCTAACTAATGAAATAATACTAACAATAAATAAGATATTTCTCAATAACCCTAATATCTAAAGCATATATATGCTAAAAAGAATTACTAATAAACTGAATGCCATAAATCTATCTATCTATATTTGTTATGGGTTTATATATATTTTTAATTTATATATATGGTTATAAATATTTGTGAGTTTGTAATTTTTTTATCACTTTATGCCAAATATATTTTTTATTTTTAAAAATTTAAAAATTGAAAATTTCTATTTAATGCTTGAAGCTCTTGTAAAAAAATAAAAATTCAAATAAAAAAAATAAAAATTTTAAATTAGATTTGTTTAGATAGGCTTTAAAAAAAAAAATTTAAAATTAGATATTGAGAGATAAAATAAAGATTTTAACTGAACATATAGGATCAAATTTGTTAATTACAAAAGATTTTAACAAAAGCGAGATAGATCAAATTTGTTAACTTTATCTATTTGTATATCAATTTTTTTTTTACGTTTATTTAAAAAAAATAGAAATTAGGAAAATTAATAAAGGAGACTTGAGAGAATACCAGTAGGAAAGAAAGTGATTAAGAGTTAGTATTAAGGGTTTGGTGGCCTTTCATGTTTCATACTACATTCTTATAATATATAAGAAGATAAAAGAAAAGGAAGGGACTGAACATCTTATAAATATTTTATTTTTATTTTTTCATATGTACCAAAATCACACATTAATATAAGTAATTTTGTCTTTCTTATTTGGTCCTTAGTTTATTATTATTATTATTATTATTATTATTATTATTATTATTATTATTATTATTATTATTATTATCTAAGATTAATGTTTTAACCATTTGTCACACATGACCTCAAGCTAAAACTTTAGCAAGAAAGAAAAAACAATGGTGTGCTCATATCTATTGGACTAAGAAAAAATTGTGCCAAAAAAAAATTGAAATACAATTAACAACAGTGAACACTCAAATATAAAAACTCTCCATCTCATATACACCATTTTTATGATTCAAGATTCTAGTTATACACACACACACAAAAAACAATAACAAAAACAAAAAAATAAAAAAAAAATGGAAAGAAAGAAAAGGACAACAAAAACAGAAGTGTTCTCTTTATATAGTAGTCTTTGATAAGTTTCTTATTGACATATTGTTTTAAGACTCGTTGGCCATATGTGCTTCCAAACTAAAATTTCTTCCTCATGGTAAAACTTTCTAATTCCTCCATAGAAGCCATCTATTTGATCGTTCCAGTAATTCTCGATTATCCTTCTCATTTATTGTTGTTTGTTCTCCTTGTGACTTAGGAGCATTGTTTGAACTTCAGCACTATTGTAACTTGTAAAATACTAAATTTTCTCAAATATAAGAAAAAGAAAAACATATACAAAAAAAGAAAAAAAATTTGACAGATTGCTTTATTGATATGGAATACAAACACACAAAAATTCTATGTAAAGCAATTGTTTTGTCTATATAATAAGTGAAACATATAACTCAAAAACTTGGAAAGGAGCTTAAAAAATAAATAAAAATAAAGCAATGACAACCTCTGTTGTATCATATATACCAATCTCTAACTTTCTTACGGAATGGCCATCTAGGTAGTACCAATCTAACTTTCTTATGAAATGACCATGGAGGTGATGGTGACAAATAAGGGCAAGTTTTTTGGGAGAGAGATATAGTCATATTCTTATTTTTTTATAAGAAGCAGTGTGAGATTGAAACAAAAATGTAACTATATATAAGAAGGGAAGAGAGACATGTGAGAGAGGAAGGCATGTGAAAGGAGGTTACTTTAATTGAGATAAAGGAAAGAGGTGATAAGAGAGTTTTAAATTTTTTAATTTATCTAAAGTGATAAATATATATTTTTTCTTATATATTTCATGTGGATTTTTGTCTCTCCTCTATTTTGGTTAGAAAAAACAGGGTGAGAGAGGAAGAAGTGCCACCTCATTTTTTTAATCTCTCAAAATTATGAGAAATTAGGATTAAATAATTGATAGCCTGTGAGCTTCCACTACATTTGCTTTTATAGATAGTATAGATAGATAGATAGATATAAATATATAGGTAAAAAGATAGATATCAAATCTAATTTGAAAAAAGATAAAAGTAAAATAAACATCCTTAAAAAAAAAAAAAGAGAGAGAAATGTGAGAATTCAGTTGTTGATAATCAAAATTTTTAAAAAGATAAGATATTTATGAGAGATTATGTATGAGTAGAAGATGATTTAATTTTTGTTATATTGAAATAAAGGCATATATATTTTTTTGAATAGTAGCAAAATAAATTTACTTTTTTAATAAAGTTGTAATAGAATAAAATATATTTAATTTTTAAATTGCATGCTTGATGATAATTTGTTTTTTTTAAATATATTGATAGAAAATTTTAAAATTGATGGTAGTCAATTGTTATCATTGTAGCCAAAAAGAATTTAATAGTGGTCAATCATTAACCAATAATTTTGGATAAAATCATGGATAGTCAATAAAAAAACAACACTTAGCAACTTAAATTTTGTAAAAATTAAAAAAAAAAAAATTGGAAAATTCAGAAAAAAAGTATTGGAATTCCACAAATCATATAGTTAAATATTTTAATTAATTTTAAAATTTAAATGTTAAATCCAGTAATATTATGCCATGTGTAATAATTCAAAATTTAGATAAAAATTTTAAATTAGATATGTTTAGATAAAATTTAAAGATTTTAAAATTTTAAAATTAAATATTGTTAGATGTACCAATCACTTTAAGCCAAATATAATTTTGTTTTCAAAAATTTTAAAATTAAGAAATTGTGTTTAAGGTTTGAAGCTGTTGGCTGTGTTTGTGTTGTTAAGTGGGTGCATATTGGTTGTAGATGATCCGAAGAACTCTCATTTGAGAGAGCTTAAGGAGCAAAAGTGAGATTAACTTTATGCAGAGCTGATCTTCTTGATTTCGAGAGTTTACGCAAAACCATTAACATGTGATGGTGTGATAGGCATGAGATAAAGTAAATTAAATTAAATTCAAGATGTGATGAGTTTCGAATCTGATTAAATTGAAAAACAAAAGCAAATTACAAATTAAAAAGTAAGCAAGCCAAATCGTGCGAAATGTAATAATGAAGAAGATGAAAAGATATGTAGATAAACTGAAAAATAATGAAAAAAAGAAATATATATATACACAAAAGTAATAAACATTGAAAAAATACATATAAGGTAAGAAATAATATTATGAGCATAAAAATAAAGAAAATGAAAAGATATGCAGATGAACTAAAAATATTTAAAAATATATATGCACACAAAGTAACAAACACTGAAAAAATGCATATAAAGTAAAAACTAATATTATAATGACCTTGTAATGATTTTTTGCAAATAATCAAACTTGCAAAATGTAACAATGAAGAAAATGAGTTATTATAAGAAAATAAAAGATGATTGGAATAAGCTAAATAGAGAATAGAGAAATGTGTGTGTAGAAGTTGTAGAAGTTGTAGTTTTTTTTTTTTTTTGAGATTGAGAGTGAGATAGATATTATTGTGAGTGATGGATATAGATGAATATTTTATTATTTTGGGATAAATATTATTATGGGTAATGGATATGGATGAATATTTTATTATTTTTTAATTTTATATTTTATATAAGAAAAAAGAATGAGAAGGCTTGAAGGGTGAGAAAGAAAATAAAGAGAAGTGCCACATAGTATTTTTTTTTTCAAAATTATAAAAATTTAAAATTTAAAATTTATGGATATGAATAAATATTTTATTATTTTTTAATTTTATATTTTATATAAAAAAAAAGTGAGAACGCTTAAAAAGTAAAAAAGAAAATAAAGAAAAGTGCCACATAATATTTTTTTTTTAAATTATAAAAATTTAAAATTCAAATTTTGGAGTCTTCTACTTAACAAGTACATTTCATATTATATATATAGAATAGATAAGGACGGAAAGTGGACTCCCACCTATCTTCTTCCAGTCTCTCTCTACTTACTCTCTCCGAAAAGCAGCCAAAGAACCTTCTTAATTCTGTATATAATGCCACCGAGTGCTAGCGATAAATAAGTTTAGCTGTCGTTGAAGCCATTTTTGATATATAAAAAAACACTATTCCACCTCACCTCAAAAGCAACACACGAACAAACTCTCTCTCTCTCTCTCTCTCTCTCTCTATCCAATCAAATTCGCCGGCTAAGAGCTTTGCTTTTGATTGGCGTGTGACTGATCGCCATGGGCTGTACTGGATCGTCGCGCGCCAAAGGAGACGGTTTGATTCTCATCCTTTTCTTGTTTTCTGCAATCTTGTTCATCTACATAAATGCCTGTATATGTGGATTTCGTTTGCCACTTTGGTTTCAATTGATGTGGACTGGTTATCTATACACATGATTGAATTAGCAATTTCAGTGTTTTTTGTGCTTAATTTTTGTTTTTAAGTGATCTCTAATGTTAGTTTGATGTTTATATTGTTTTCCCCATAAGTTCAGCATTAGTTAATTTGTGGAAGTTTTGTGTTCTTTGTAGTTATGGTAATTTCTTGAATTTTAGGGCTAGAAATTCAGCTGCCGCACTGCAGTTTATTTATTAATTATCGGTTTGTGACCTTCCCCCTCCCCTACAAATGAGCGATGGCCTCTTTTGAAGGGATTATTTTAGTAATTTTTTGACTATTTTGAAAAGATGTGTAGAAAAGTATTAAGAGTGATGTGACAATTTATGAAAGTTGCCAAAATGAAAGTCTGCATTTTTTTGTTGGTTTATGATGGCTTGGATGTCGGGCTCAGTCTAAATAGTGGCGGAGCTTGGATTTTGGCATAGGGGAGGCAACATTGACTTGAAGTCATAGTGAGATCTATCACAATGCAACTGACTCCGATTTTCTATTGGTGGTAAAACTGTTGGGAATAAAACCACCAAAGCAATGGGAGCGAAAATTAAATAAAATGTCATGGACAAGAAGAACATAGAATTTACGTGGTTCAGCTATGTCCACGGGTGAGTGAGAACTATCCACTAACAGTAAGAAATTATAATGGTGATACAAATGTGATTGCTGGTATTTTCCCCACACCCACACCCTCTCACTGTTATTGTTTTCAACCTCACACCCCACAAGATTACACATTGTAGCCACTTACAAGAAAACAACCACTGTTGCTTTTTCCCTTTGTACCCATTAAACAGTGTGTTGCACAAATTAGTAAAACCCACTGTTTGTTCCTTTAACTGTGTATAAACCTACACACACATTCCCAATCTTATATATAAACATATAGATGAGATTGTTGAGCACACATTTCACACTTCCCCCGCTAATGTTCCATCTCCCAAAATCAGCTTCTAGAAACTTGAGAACACTCTGCCAGCATTGATATTATTTCATACAACCATTTTGACTTCCCAAACCAAGCTAGCAGCCATTGCAAATGATAATCATTACACAACACTTTCCATGATCTTTGCCTTTTAGATGATCAAGTGCCCCAGCTAGTTATAGTTTCGAAGAAGACCACCTTTTGGACTTCTTGAGGCTTCTTTGTTCTCCCTTTTCCTCAAATTCTCGTGGGATATGAGGGCAACGGCTACCTCATCAAGCTCCAAAGTGTCCTTCCCACACATTACAGTGGTTCCTAGATGCTTATATGACGATGGTAAAGAAACCAACAATAGGATTGCCTTATTTCGTTCTGGATCTTTGCACCGATAGCATCCCACTCCATTAAAATTCTGTTGAAGTATCAAGATGCTTCATAAAATTTACACCTTCCCTCATTTTAAGTGCGTACAATTGTTCGTTTAAAAATAATCGTGGGTAAGTGACTTGGACTTGTACCTACTCTTAAGCTTCGCCCAAAGTTCTGCAAGATCAGTTGCGTTGATGACCTCCCGACGAGTGGTGTTCCCTAGATACGTCCTTCCTTTCCTGCTACTCTTCATCCTTCATATTTTCTAGTTTTTTTGATTTGTTCTTGAGAGGCTTTATCAATTCTTCTCATATCAAAATATTCTTCACTTGTTATTGCCATAATGTGAAATCATTGTGACCATTAAAAGGTTCAATAAAGAAACTTCCTCCTTTTACTTCCATTGCTATTCTTGTAATCACAACTTTGATACCAGTTGTGGAGAATATAAATCCACGCAAGCAGTAGAAGCAAAACTAAAATAAAATTGGTCACAAAAAAGAGCATAGAATTTACGTGGTTAGGCAGAAATGCCTACGCCCATGGGTGAGTTGAAAACAATCCACTAATAGTAGAAAATTTACAATGATGAGACAAATACACTCCTTGGTATTTTCCTTACACCCACTTATTGTTATTGCTCTCAACCTCACACCCCACAAGATTACACATTATGATCACTCACAACAAAACAACCCACTTTTGCTTTTTCCCTTTGTACCAGTTAAACAAAATGTGTTGCACGAAATAATAAACTCGACTGTTTGTTCCTTTACCCATCACATTGCCAATCTTATATATAAATATATAGATGAGATTGTTGAGCACCTATGAAGCACGATTACTCTAAAAATGTTGTCGTACTCGTATCCAGTGCTTACTGAATATTGGTACGTGTACCAATAAGGCTGCATGTGTATTGGGTACTCGAAATACGTACTAGTTATTTTTTATACATTCTTTGGCAGTTGGGTACTCCGTAAGTACTTCGTGAGTACGAGATGGGTACATCAGGATACACCAAGTTATGGGACATTAGTGGAGATACGTTTAATTTATTAGAGAGTTCTGATTTACTTGAAACTGAAAATCCTTTACTTGATGTGCCAGAGATAAAAGATGTATTATTTAATGATAAAGTTGATAGAAGTGAAAATTGAAATTTGAAATTTGAAATTTGAAATTTGAAATTTCCAAATTTCCAGATTTTTCTTAGCTTGCTTTTGGAAGGAAACTTTGTTTTGTAATTTCTCTTATTTAATGGCATTAAAATAGCTTATGAACTTTTCTTTGATATTGGTATTGTTGAATTATGATTTTTCTTTTTTTTTTGTAATTTTTCTTTTTAGTTTTAGTATTGAACCTTGATTTGTAGATCGAATCTCAAATTATAAATTATAAAAAATAAAAAAATTACTAACGAACCCTAACTGTATCCGTATTCTATTTTTTTAGGTCTTATCGTATCAACATACCCGTAATGTACCCATATCAGTATCTGTACCCGCACTCATGCTTCATATTTGAGTTGAGCACACATTTCACACTATCACAGATAATGTTCCATCTCCCAAAATCAGCTTCTAGAAATGTGAAAATTCTCTAGCAGCTTTGACATTATTTCATATAATCATTTTGACTTCCCAAACCAAGCTAGCAGCCATTGAAAACAATAAACATTACACAACACTTTTCATGTTCGTTGCCTTTTAGATGATCAAGTGCTACATGTCACGGACTGGATGTTTGTCATCCTCTCGAGAAACAGGGTCCATGAGTGGTACTGCATACCCTAGTGCATTATGCCCAAGGACCAATCCAGAAATAAGGACCTAATACGCTTGCCTTGCGGCTCACAAACTAATGCGCTTGCAAGGTGCTTGTTGTAGAACTCACATTACCAATGAGTCGGTACGTGATATGTTACCACCAGCAATCCCTACTGCCCTCATCAGGGGTACCTTGCCTGTCTTCATGCTTGTTCGTTCCCCTACTCATGGGAAACCCGCCCCGCGCGGACCCCATAATGAAAGTGTTTGATGTAAGTCCCACGTACCGTCCCCATCACAGTGTCCATAGGCTGGCTCTGATACCACTTTTCACGAACATGGCGCTTGTCGTTCTCCCGATAAGGCGGCTTCAAGAGTGGTACTGCATATCCCATGCATTATGCCTAAAGACCAATTTAGGTGATGCGATAAGGATCTACCCTGCCTGCCTTGCTGCTCACAAACTAATGCGCTTGTAAGATACTTGGTGTAGATCTGGCATTACCAATGAATTGGTACATGACATACAACTCGTAATAGTTTCCAAGACCACCTTTTGGACTTCCAATGCTGGCAAGTTAATACATATACGAAACATCACATTGTCTTTATATTTTTTTCCACAAGTGTAGACAATTCCCAATAATTTTTTTTTTTGCAGTTCCTAAGAATAAAATAAACCATTAATTAATTATTTTATAACATAGATAGAAAAATCCCAACAAAAACAGCTACAAATGAGTGTGATGCCAAAGTTATATGTTTAAAGTTATGCTTGAGTTAATCAATTTTTTGTTTTTGTTTTTTTGATTTTCTATTATTTTTGGTTATTAATTTGATTTTATATTTTAGTTTGTGAATATGATGGTCATCATAATTTAAAATTATCACATGCCACTGTTAAAAATGAGAATGATCGAATCACACCAACACATACACACACAATATAGAAATAGAGTGGAAGAGATAGAAATGAGAGAGAAGAGAGATAAATAATATAGAATTTAAAAGAAAAGATTTTAGCAAAATTAAATATTTAGAGTGACAAATTGCAGGGATTATTTTTATTTTTTAATTAATGAATGACGTTACAATGAAGCTTATAAATTATAATCATAATGCAAATCAATACAACATAAAACTAATATAAAGAAACCCTCGAAGTAAGAGAGAAAAATCGTAAATAAATATATGGAGAATACAACCCACGAATAGATTAGCAGATTTGAATTCCTGACCTCCTAGTGAATTGGAAGGATTTTAACTAATGGAAAAACTCGTTGTTTTGCAAAGATTTGTTGAAAACAATGAAAAACAAATAAATAAAAGAGAAGGTACAAAGATTTAAGTGGTATACTTGAAACTTTAAAGGAATTAATTGAAAATATTTTTCAATTAGAGGTAAAAGTGCAATTTTCAAAAAATTAATGGGTACACAAGCCCCTCCATAGTCCCCATGTAGATCTGCCCTTGGTCCAAGTCCTTGTGGTGGTTTACATAATTTCCATTTCACAATTCTGCTATGCATAAGTATTTCTCATTCACTAGCATATATTTTCTTGTCATCTTACTCCTCATCTAATTAGGTTTATTTTTCTTCCATCTTTTCTTGTCATTGTAGCAGTGGTGGATGTAGAAAATGGGTTGGATGTAGAAAATCCATGTGTGTCATAGATCCTTTTGAGTTCCTGTAATGTATAGGCTGCCCTCTCCTAGGATTTTGTAAAATTACACTTCCCAACCAACATTTGTTAAATTCCATAATGTAACCCATGCACGCTCAAGTGTTTTAGCTTTCCCCACCAGTTTGACAT